TGGAGAAATGTCAAGGTATTATCCTTATTTTATTTCATGTATTTTATTCAAATGCCTCATCCTTCTTCTAAAAAGATCCATCAAGCTACCTGGCTGTCTCCGGATCGAAAAACGAGAAACCAAATCGATCATGTTGTGATAGACGGAAGGCACGCTTCCAGTGTTTTAGACGTACGCACACTCCGAGGCCCAAACATCGACTCGGACCACTATCTTGTTGCAGCCAAGATACGCACCCGCCTATGTGCAGCAAAAAATGTGCGCCCAAATATGCAAGGAAAGCTTAACGTCGAAAAGCTGCAATCACAACAGACAGCCAGCGCTTTCGCTACTCGACTCTCACACCTGCTCTCAGAGAGCACTCTTCAACAAACCGACATATGCGAGCAGTGGAACCACATTTCCCGCTCATTAAGTACCGCCGCCGAAGAAGTAGTCGGATTTCAGCGAGCCCGAAAGAACAACTGGTACGATGAGGAGTGTCAGGAAGCTGCAGAGAAAAAAGATGCCGCCTACAGGGCCACGCTGCGATCGGGCGCAACGCGCGCTATGTGGGACCGCTATAGGGATCTGAAGAGGGAAGCGAGACGTATTTGCCGCAACAAGAAGAGAGAGGCAGAAATACGTGAGTGCGAAGAGCTTGAAATGCTGGCCGACAGGAGGAATGCCCGAAAATTTTACCAGAGAGTTAGGCGACTTACGGAAGGTTTAAAGACCGGGACGCACTCCTGTAAGAACAATAATGGCGACCTAGTAACTGATGTCCAGAGCGTACTTAAATTATGGAGGGAACACTTTTCCGCCCTACTAAATGGCAGCAGCACAGAAAGTTGTGGAGAAGAAGAACCCGAGCCCGCAGTCGATGATGACGGAGTCGACGTTCCACCGCCTGACTATGACGAGGTACGTATAGCAATAACGCGGCTGAAAAACAACAAAGCCGCTGGAGCTGACAGCCTGCCAGCTGAGCTATTCAAGTACGGCGGCGAGGAGTTGATAAGGTGCATGCATCAACTCTTGTGCAGAATATGGTCAGATGAACGCATGCCCGACGACTGGAATTTAAGTGTGCTCTGCCCAATCCACAAGAAAGGTGACCCCGCCATTCGCGCCAACTACCGCGGGATCAGCCTTCTAAGCATAGGTTACAAGGTCTTATCGAGCGTATTGTGTGAAAGACTGAAGCCCACCGTCAATGAACTGATTGGGCCTTATCAGTGTGGCTTTAGACCTGGCAAATCCACCATAGACCAGGTATTCACAATACGCCAAATCTTGGAAAAGACCCGCGAGAAAAGGATCGACACTCACCACCTATTTGTCGACTTTAAAGCCGCTTTTGACAGCACTAAAAGGAGTTGCCTATACGCCGCTATGTCTGAATTTGGCATCCCCTCAAAACTCATACGGCTGTGTAAAATGACGTTGAGCAATACCACCAGCTCCGTCAGAATTGGAAAAGACCTCTCCGAGCCGTTCGCCACAAAACGGGGTTTCAGACAGGGCGACTCCCTTTCATGTGACTTCTTTAATCTGATGTTGGAGAAGATAATAAGAGCTGCAGAACTGAACCGCTCAGGAACAATTTACTACAAGAGCGTGCAATTGCTGGCTTATGCCGATGACATCGACATCATCGGTAACAAAAACCGCGAAGTCTGTTCTGCCTTTTCCAAGTTGGATAGGGAAGCAAAGCGCATGGGTCTGGTGGTAAACGAGGACAAGACGAAGTATCTCCTGTCATCAAACAAACAGTCAGCACATTCGCGCCTTGGCACCCACGTCACTGTTGACAGTTACAATTTCGAGAAAGTAGAGAATTTCGTTTACTTGGGAACCAGCATTAACACCGATAATAATGTCAGCATTGAAATCCAACGTAGAATCACTCTTGCCAACAAGTGCTACTTTGGACTGAGTAGGCAATTCAGGAGTAAAGTCCTCTCTCGACGTACGAAAACCACGCTCTATAAGTCACTCATCATGCCCGTGCTGGTATATGGCGCAGAAGCATGGACAATGACAACATCCGATGAGGCGGCTCTTGGGGTGTTTGAGAGAAAGATTTTGCGGAAGATTTACGGTCCTCTACGCGTTGGCGACGGCGAGTACCGCAGACGATGGAACGATGAGCTGTATAAGCTTTACAACGACATAGACATAGTGCAGCGAATTAAAATATAGCGGCTCCGCTGGCTTGGCCATGTCGTTCGAATGGACACCGACGCTCCAGCTCTGAAAGTATTCAACTCGGAACCCGCTGGTGGTAGCAGAGGAAGAGGGAGGCCCCCACTGCGATGGAAAGATCAGGTGGAGAAGGACTTGGCTTCACTTGGCGTTTCCAATTGGCGTCAGTTGGCACAGAGGAGAAACGACTGGCGTGCTTTGCTGAACTCGGCCAAAATCGCTTAGGCGGTTACAGCGCCAAAAAAGAAGAAGAAGAAGAAGATTTTATTCAAATTATAAAATTAGTTAAACTGAATGTTGGATAAGCGACAGCGATCGTCTGGATTAAATTTTTGTGCTTTAAAGGGGTAAAAAGAACCCTCGTATTAACTTGTGAATTCGCTATGTAAAAATCCAACCGGAAGAAGTACTCTTGGAGTTTTATCGCTTATCCAGTTAATAAAGTTTCACCATATTATCATTGTGTATATGGAAAATCTACATTAATGTAGCACACATTGCATTTCAATGTATTTATATTGTGAAAATTTTAATCATCGACAGGCTTATCGATACGTGAAGTAAACGATCACAGATTTTCGCATCAAACCGGTTTCGTGGACTTATATTAAATTCATATTTTTTAACATCGCACCTTTTTTTGTTAAATTTGTTATTTTATTGTATCTTTAAGTACAATGACTTTAACCTTTTAGAAAGTTAGGTAAGATGATACGTGCTGTTAATTCGTCTTTATATCTAATTATTTTTAAAAAGCATCTATTCGCGCAGTTAAATTTAGTGTAAAAACAGCAAAATATATTTGTACTTCGGGTTTCAGCTGCTTTCTAGTAAAAAGTATTAGACTTAAGTTTTCTTTAAGTTAAAGTATTTTAATTATGAAATCGGTATTTTCATATACATATGTATGTACTGCGGTTTTCAGCTGCCTTGTAGTAATAAGTCTTAGACTTAATTTTTTTTAAGTTAAAGTGTTTTAATTATAAAATTACGTAATGAAATACAATTAGTAAGTAAAAGAATTAATAATTTTAATAATAACTTAAAAATAATTATCTATTAACTTTTTAATAGTTAACTAAAATAATGGCACATAGGTTAAAAATTTATTAAATAAAGTGTTAAAAAAATTAAATAACTTTAATGAGTTTCAGAACGTTGGCTGCAGCGATTTACGAAATAAAAGGTTGGTAAAGAATTTTTTTACTTTTCATCAAATGGTATCGGTATTTTATTTCATTCATCATATTTTTATTTCAATCAAATTTTTTTATATTTTTCATATCTTTTTAACCAGAGCTATCATGGATTCATCGTAGTCCGATTTTTCGTTAAATAT